TTTTTTTTTTTTTTTTTTTTTTTTTTTTTTTTTTTTTTTGTAATATTGTATCCTAGTTCCCAAACAACCACAATAAAGAAGGCACATGGAAAGCGAGGGAAAAAAATGAAATGGCATCGTCTTCCCCCAGGTGCTCACGGCGGTATATTTCCTTTGATGTGTAGCTTTCAAGTAACTGACCACCCCAAGTGGCCCATTCTATAGGGTCCCACATTATGCTCCTTTCTTTGCGCTCTCAGCCGGGGTTGACAATCAACCTTCAAATTAAACAATCTCCCACCACTACTTGGAAACAGGAAACCATCTCTTAACAGGGCTCTGGAACACACAGTTTGATGAAAATCACTTACACAGGGCAGATAACAGTTTACAAGGTCGGGGCACTCTCTGGCTGGGCGTGAAAGGGTGGGAGGTGCTGAGGTCAGGGTTAAACTACACTGTGAAATGAGCCTCCTGTCCTGCCCTCTCCTTCCTTCATCTACAGGAGGAGTCTCCAGTGAGTTCCTGCATCTGGAAGTCTGCCCCCTTTAGTGCTGCAGAGGCCAGGGACAGCATTTCAAAGCTCCGTCTAAATCAATCCACTTAAAAGAGCCCAGAAAAGCCTGACCATTGGCCATAATTGCCCCAGATTGCTTGATTCCTTTCCCGTCTTGCAGCCTCATCAGCATTTCCCTTCTTTCCCCTTCGTGTCCTTTTCTCTTGGAGGAGCAGGTCCTGTCGGTGCTTAGGATGCGCACTAAGGAAGCTCCGATTCGAGGCAGGAGTGGAATGTCTTAGCTTTCCGTCTCCCCCAACCCACCTATAGGCGTGCGGCACAGTGACCCCCAGAAGGGTACTCCAGGATTTTAGCGGCCAGGTGTGCGCGCCCTGCACGCGGTCCTCTGAGACCTCAGGGCGCGCGTGGTCACCGGGCAGAAGCCGCCTCTGCAGCGCCGCTGCCCCGGGAGGAGCGGCAGCCCGGGTTGCTGCAGTGGGGTTGCCACGCCGAGTTTTCCGCATCGACCGCCCGCAGCGCTCGCCTGCTTCTCCCCATTGTGTTTTCAGAGCTGTGGGACCCAGCACCGCGCGCCGCCGCGCCGGTGCCCACACTCCAGCAGCAGGCTCAGGGAAGCGGAGCTGGCAAGGGGGGGCAGGGAGAAGGAGCGAGAAGGGGCCCCAGAAGGGCACCGCGCTTCATCAATAATGCAGAGGCTCCTGGATCTCCCTGCAATACGTTTTCCAGCTAAACGCCACCAACTGGAGCGCTTCCTAGTTCGTCCCACACGTGTGGTTTTTGTGTGTGAAAGATGGGACGCACCTTTTTCATTCATCTGTCTTCACTCATTCTTCCTCCCTCCCTCATTTCCTCCCTCAGATACAGTCCCCGGTGGCTTAGCTTTTAGCGCTCATTTTCACATCAGCACCACGTTTTCAAGCAAAAACCTGCAGGTTGGAAACACAGGTGTTAAAAGTCCCCACTGCCTACATATCGCCAAGAGTTTACCAGAATCCACCTAGTAACGCTTATTTCAAAGCCCCCAAGCTCATCCATTCCTGGAGAACGCTTTCAAAGTTTGGAATCTCCTTGCAGCCTGCTCATGTCTGCGCCTCAGTTCGCGTCACGAACAACGGTGCGGTCAGCGACACCGAGATTACGCTGCAAAGTTGCCCGGCCCCGCACAGCCCAGTAGACCACTGATGCTGGCAGCATCTCAAGAGGAAATTCCGCTGTGTGCCCCCAAAAGCCCAAAGCGCCACGTAACCTACTCAAACAGGGTTAGCCCAGCCACATACAACAAACACAAATTCCAAAACTTCTTTGTTAAGCAGTCGCAGCCTACCTGGAACGGACACTGCACAACTTGCAAGGAATAAACAAACATCGCATCCCTGCAGGGAAACTTGTTGAATCCCTCCCGATCGAAAGGCTGCCGTTTCCTATGTAGCCTGGAGGTTTTCGATGCTACCCCCAAACACACTGGCGCATCAGCCACAATTTCTGGATAAACTGCAGAGTGCTCTCGGCACCCATTCTGCGCTCCAACAACCACTAGTGTAAAACCTGGCGTGTCCCCTTTTACAAATCGAAAGCCAGCTGTCACTTCCTTTGCAACCATTTGCGAGACTTACCCTTCGACGAGACTGTTTTCAGCAATCTAGCGGCTCCGTAGTGTAGACGCAGCCCTGCAACTTTACAGTGCACCGAGACCTTTCCGAGTTTAAACCAAGGAAAAGCTGTCTGAGACTTTTAAACCTACGAGTGGGGAAATAGGGAGAGTGAAGTCGGGTTTCTTCTCGGTATCAGCACCCTAGAAAAATTCAATCCTTCTTCAGTAGAGAATTCTTTCAGACCCGTTATCTCTATTACTATTAATGCGCAGGGCAGACGGCATTGCATACAAATAGGTCCAAGTGTGCGCTTCTATTGGTGGCTGCGGAGGCCCCTGGGTCCTACTGCTCCGGCCCTAAACTACACAGCAACACTAGGCACGCAGCTTTGAGACGCCGAGAGGAAAATGGATTTAATTGATTCGTTACCTCTGGTATTGTAATGCCTGCTGCGATGTTTAAAGCGGGGTGGGGGGGGGGGGGGGGCTCTTACATTTAAGCCCTGTCATGTGATCTATCATTTCATATCTGCTTTTAATTGTCTGTGTGGGGTGCCTTTGATCATACAAAGGATTTTAAAATAACATTTTCGGAGGAAAATTCACACAGATAATTTTGGCAGGAAAACCCTCTTTTGCTCTCTATTATGCATTATTCTCATATAAATCCAGGAAATTTTATATAATCAAATACTTCTGTGCTTCACATAAGCACACATAGCACTCAATTGTATTCTTGAAAATATATAGCTACTCCAAATAAAATACCTTACACGAGTTAAGATAGAAGCCAAAATATGAGTCTACCGATTATAAAATACGGATGATATTAATCAAATGCTACAGAAAAAAATCCATCAATGACAATGGGATGGACATCATTTTTACTTTGCTAAATAAGAAATATAGAAATATTTTTCTTGTAAATAGTGACATAAAAATATAAATCAGCATAAAGGTATCTATAACGTCACAATATGTCAAGTATTTCCTATTAATTGCTACATTCTCTTCTTACAGTTTCTCTCTTAGCAAGTCCATGAGTAATGCAAATTGGCATAACAAGGAGATTTAAAGTGAGGCAGACCTGTGGTGACTGGCAATTTGAAAGATTGTAACAGTGGGCAAAATCACCTTAGTTCATCATTGGTAAAGGTAGCTATTTAAGAATTTCTTAGAATATTAATAGCTGAATCTTAATATATATTAATTTGAAGCCCTTAAGCATGCTGTTTTCTTTGACCTTTAATTTTGTGGAGGAAAAGAGAATTCTTCATTTAAACTAAAATGACACAGACTTTCCACAAAGTCCCAGATATGATATTTGCTGATATTACAATTTGGGAAGTAACATAATTTTATTGTCCTTTGATGTAAAGAATTATGATAAATTCCAATTTAATTATAAAATTATTATATATATGCAATGTACAACTGAATGATGTTGGAAAGGACATCCTGAATAAGGTTAACATCAACCTGCCTGTAAATACACCACCTATGTGTAAACTAAATAAATGAAAACACAATGCAAAAATACAACAGAGTCGAGATCTTATTCCAACTATATGTACAGCATTTGAATTTCTGTAGTGTGTGCTACAATCCTTCTTCATTTCCATAAACTCTTCCCTTTTCCAGCCCCTTCCCTTCCCCCATCAGTAACCCTTGACAACAGAAGTGTTAACTTCAAGTCCAGGTTGCCTTTGCTGCCTTCCAGACCTAACTTACAGATTGCATCCTTGTAGGAAACAGAATTAACTCTTACACGACTGAGAGGTGAAAGAAGAGAGTTTCTTTAAGGGATTAGAAAATCCAGAATCCTTATGGGTATCTGCAAAGTTTACACCAAACACAAATTTTTAAAATATCCATGATCACTAATTCAGAGTGCAAAGACATGATCAGAGTCAATTTGCTATATTTCTCCATTGCTATTGTGTCACTGAAAAAGCTTTTGAATAACTTTTATTCAGGGTTCTTCAATCACTTTATTTCAGGTTAATAATTTTTTCCATTTACAAGAAAGTTAAAATGAAAATACCAAAGTATTGCAATATGCAGTATAAAGGTGTAAGAGATTTTTTTAATCTGTAAAATAAAAGAAAAGCTATTATTTAGTATAGTAAGGAAAACATAATGACCGTGCAAAGTTGAATAAAGACTGACATTCAATTTTTTTTTTTTTCTGAAACAAGTAAATTTCAAGGTGTTTCAACTTCCTTCTACAAGGGGATCTGAAAAAAATTATTTGCAACCCATTTACAAGTTGAAAGTTCTGCATTTAATGTGTATTGTTTTAGAACTGAGAAAAGTCATGTTTTATAGAAGCTGACAGATTTTATACAAAATCAATGCCGCTTATCTACGACCATAGTTAAATGGGGAAGTTTAGTAGTGAGCAAACATAACAGTGAACAGAAGAAAATAAACCAAAACTGACCTAATAACAAATTTATTGTATACTTCCTTGATCAGTTTTTACTTTCTACATGAAAGGCTGATGGAAAAATATAGCAAGCTACACAGAAACTTAAGTTTAACCATTTCTTTTCAAAATAGTATTCCATATCTCTTCAATAAATTATTTGTTTATTCAAATTATTATCATATGAGGCATGTATAATAAATACATAGTTGTAAAGGTTGCAAATATATTTTCCTTACTTCTTGGATACTAAGGCAAAACATATTTCAAACAAGCATATTAGAACCACAATAGTTTTCATATTTCCTAGATCTGTAGGAATATCCTTGATCTATTTTTTATTATTTGAAGTACTGTTGGACGCCTCATTTTGTCAGTGCAGTTTTCAAGGACAATATATACTATGTCAGAAACTGATTTCCATCATGATGACAATGCCTTATTGTGGTTAATGTGAACATCTATAAAAGTTGGAAAGCAAAACATACCTGGCACATCCCTGTCTATAATCAGCTTACTTTCTAAATTTAGATGAGTAAACATGCAATAGCATGCCATTCGATGAAACTTAATGAACTATAATGACATTCAGCTACCCTCCAAGGTATTTAAAAAATTCCGTCTTGAGCAATTTTGAAATATGTCTAGTTTAAAAAATTTCAAAGCCACAGGCATTGATCTATGCATCTGTTTTAAAAAGAATATTTGTCCATGCTTGATTTTTGACAGATGAAAAGGAAAATTACCAGACATACAAATTATACCTTGACAGCAGAAACATAAAGTTAAGAATGTGGTTAATAAGGCATTTTTAAACGTATAAATCAGTAGTAAACAGCAATATATATACTAATCACTAATTAAGATATGATGGTATATTAAGTGATGCACTAAAACATCTTAATAATTTAGAAAGTTGCAAGACACCACGTGTAAATACATGGCCCAAAAACTAATTTGTATGAATTGCTAAAGTAGATGAAGAAAATATAGCTTAAGTGTTAAAAATATCTATATGATAACTTTGAAGAGATAGATGGAACTTCAAAAAGGTGAACTAAATTTGACACTAAGTGGAAGGAATGAGAACTTCATGGCACTGTGATTTTGATAAGATGATCACCATGAATGGAATGTTCATATTAAAATTCCAGGCTGGGCGTGGTGGCTCACACCTATAATCCCAACACTTTGGAAGTCTGAGTCAGGTGGATCACCAGGTCAGGAGTTGGAGACCAGCCTGACCAAATGGAGAGAAATCCGGTCTCCACTAAAAATATAAAAATTAGCTGGGTGTGGTGGCATGCTCGTGTAATCCCAGCTACTCAGGAGGCTGAGGCAGGAGAATCACCTGAGCCCGAGAGG